ACATTCAAGTTTTTGGTTTCCTTGCCTTAGTGTGACCAGTGTTCCGTAACATTGCTGGATTTGTTTTAGTTCTATATTCTGCATATAAAAGAGAACATGCACCTTTTGGCTTTCTGAACCTGGCTAACTTCACTTAAGATGATGTTCTCCAGTTCCATCCATTTACCTGAAAATGAATAAATTTCATTCTTCTTTGTGGCTGAATAAAATTCCATTGTGTATAAATACCATATTTTCTTAATCCATTCATCAGTAGTGAGACATCTTGGCTGTTTCCATAGCTTAGCTACTGTGAATAGTGCTGCAATAAACATGCGCATGCAGGTACCTTTGTTGTAAGCTCACTCACATTTCTTTTGGGTATTTCCCTACGAGTGGCATTGCTGGATCATATGGCAGATCTATTTTTGGTTTTTTAAGGAGACTCCATACAGTTTTCCACAGTAGTTATACTAGCTTACATTCCCACCAGCAGTGTATGAGGGTCCCTTTTTCCCCCCGAAATCCTCACCAACATTTGTTGTTGCTTGTGTTCCTGAGTTAGAGAATCTTAACGTGGTTTTGATTTGCATTTCCTTTATGGCCAAGATGGTGAGCATTTTTTCATGTGTATTTTTAGCCATTTGGACATCTTCCTTTGAAAAAGCTCTATTCAGTTCATTTGCCTGTTTCTTCATTAGTTCATTGATTTTTGAGCTCCTTGTATATTCTGGTTATCAGTCCCTTGTCTGATGTATAGTTGGCAAAGATTTTCTCCCATTCTGTGGGTGGCCTCTTCAATTTAGAGACCATTTCTTTTGTTGTACAGAAGCTGTTTAATTTCATGTAGCTCCCTTTGTCAATTCTTTCTCTTAGTTGCTGAGCCACTTGAATTCTACTGAGGAAGTCACTGACTATGCTTATTGTTTCCAGTGTATTCCCTGCTCTTTCCTGTACTAGCTTCAAGGTTTCAGGTCTTTTATTAAGATCTTTCATTCATTTTGAGCTGATACTTGTACCACCTCATTTTTTACAAAGGCTCCAAAAACATACGATGGAGAAAAGACAACCTCTTCAACAAATATTGCTGGGGAAAGTGGCTATCTGCCTGTAGAAAACTGAAACTAGATCCATGTTTGTCAGCCTGTACAAGTATCAACATATAATATTTTTGTAGCATTTGGTTATACAAACATTAAAGTGAGTCACAGGTCAAAATCATGGATCTGAAGGGGACAAGGAGGATGCTCAAAACAGGTAAAAAAAATCTTAGAAATTAAAAATATAACAAAAATGAAAAAGGCGCTAGAAGATTAGAAGATAAAGTTGAGAAATTTTCCTAGAATAATACAGACAAAAAATATGACAAAGAATTAGAAAACAGGAAAGAAAGTATTTTAAAATTACAAGGCCAATCCAGAAGATCTAAAAAGTTCCAGAAAGAAAACACAGAATGGGAAGAAGAAATAAATAATTTAAGAATGTTTACCCGAACTAAAAGAAACATTTCCATAGTTAAAAAAGCCCATCATGAACCCAGTAAAATGGATTAAAAAGACCACAAAGCGTATTACTAAACATCCAGAACACTAGAAACATAGCCAATTGTAAAAGCTCATTGAGAGGGAGAAACATAAAGAGGATCAGAAATTAGAATGTGTTATACTTAACATCGATAAAGAAAAACAGATAAACCTAGGGCAATAACTTCAAAAAATCTGCTGCAAAAGTTGATTTCAAACTGTAATTCTATGTCAGCCAAGCTATCAATTCAGAATAAGGTTAGGTAAGTTTAAAAAAGGAACTGTCTTTGCTCCCATGCACCCTTTCTCTCAGGAAACAAAGAAGCTACACCAAGATAAACAAGTGAACCAAAATAGAAGTAGGCCGGGTATAAAGGAAATAGCAAGGTTAAAATATGGAAAAAGGCAAAAAGAATTCCCAGGATAACTGCTGCATAGCAAACCAAGAGAGAAATCAGTTCAGAATGAGTTGTGAAAATGCTCTTGGAGAAATGTCTCTAAAAAATTAAATCAGAAGACCATCTATGTATATTTGAAAAGAAATGTAGATGACTAAGCAAGGTGATTTACAGAGAAGACATAGCTAAATCCCTACAGCCCACAGTGAGAAGTTAATACAAACTATATATGAAAGAAGAGGGGGGAGAATAGTAACATTAGGAGAGCATTACATCAGGATGTAACTAAACAAAGAGCTACATGTTCAACTGATTGCCTCGGGAGATGGAAAGTCTGATGGGAAAGTGAAGGTACCTCAGTTTTTCAGAATAAATCTTCTAAAATTTATAGGACTTAATTTGGATTAGACTCAATTTTATAACAAAATCTTTTATTAAAAATTTTTAAGAGCGAATACTGAACAGAACACAAGAATAAGAATATAACATAATTGGAATTACAAACCAATTAATAAAAATTATGTTCCCATTATAAAATGGATGTCCCCATCTTCCACTATTTTCAAAAATTACCTCAAAATGAATCATAAACAGAAATATAACAGTTAAAATTATAAAACTCTAAGAAGAAACAATAGCAAATCTTGGGTTCAGCAATGGATTTCTGAGTATGACACCAAAAGCACAGACAACAAAAGAAAAAATAAACTGGACTTTAACAAAATTAAAATCATTTGTGTTTCAAAAGGCACCATCAAGAAAGTGAAGACAGATCACACCCATGTTTATTCCGGCACTATTCACAATAGCCAAGTTATGGAAACAGCCAAGATGCCCCACCACTGACGAATGGATTAAGAAAATGTGGTATCTATACACAATGGAATTTTATGCAGCCATGAAGAAGAACGAAATGTTATCATTTGCTGGTAAATGGATGGAATTGGAGAACATCATTCTGAGTGAGGTTAGCCTGGCCCAAAAGACCAAAAATCATATGTTCTCCCTCATATGTGGACATTAGATCAAGGGCAAACACAACAAGGGGATTGGACTATGAGCACATGATAAAAGCGAGAGCACACAAGGAAGGGGTGAGGATAGGTAAGACACCTAAAAAATTAGCTAGCATTTGTTGCCCTTAACGCAGAGAAACTAAAGCAGATACCTTAAAAGCAACTGAGGCCAATAGGAAAAGGGGAACAGAAACTAGAGAAAAGGTTAGATCAAAAAGAATTAACCTAGAAGGTAATACCCACGCACAGGAAATCAATGTGAGTCAATGCCCTGTATAGCTATCCTTATCTCAACCAGCAAAAACCCTGTTCCTTCCTATTATTGCTTATACTCTCTCTACAACAAAATTAGAAATAAGGGCAAAATAGTTTCTGCTGGGTATTGAGGGGGTGGGGGGGAAGGGAGGAGGTGGAGTGGGTGGTAAGGGAGGGGTTGGGGGCAGGGGGGAGAAATGAACCAAGCCTTGTATGCACATATGAATAATAAAAAAAATAAAAAAAATAAAAAAAGAAATCCCTACAGAGTTTAAAAAAGGACATGCCTAGAAAAGAGAGGCTGCTTCCCTCCCAACTTCATGTAGATGTCTTCCCTACTCTGGCTATCTTTACTCTCTTTAACATAATAGGTATTAAGAAAAAAAAAAAAAAGAGAAAAAAACGTTTGCAAATTGTGCGTCTGATTAGAGATTTGTATCAAGCATTCTTACAACTCAACAATAAAAAGACACATAACCAAATGGGCAAAGGATTTATAACAGGCATTTCTACAAAGATCTTTATAAAAAGGAGAAATCTTAACACAGAGACAGAAAGAAGATGATGGGAAAACACAGGGAAGGAGAATTTCATCTACAATCCAAGGAATCCCAGAAATCAGGAAAGGCAAGGGCTATGAAGATCTCCTTTACAGCTCTCAGAAAGAACCAACCCTACTGACACCTTGATTTCTGACTTCAAGCTTCCAGAGAGGAAATAAATTTCTATTGCTGTAAGCCATCTAGTTTGTGGTGTTTTGTTATAGCAGCACTAAGAAACTAGTAACTTCATACCTTCTAGATTTACTAAAATTAAAAAAACTGAAACTAGTGTTAATGAGGATGCAGAAAAACTGGAACCTCATGTATTGCTGGTGAGACTATAAAATGGGGCAGCTGCTTTGGCAAACAGCTTGGCAGTTCCTCAAATGTTAAACACAGAATTATATGACCCAACAATTCCACTCCAGGATATACATTCGAGAAATAAAAACATGTCCACACAAAAACCTGTATACAAGTAATTCATGACAGCATTATTTATATTAGCCTAAAACTGAAAACAACGTAAATGTCCATCATTTAACTGAATAAACAAAATATGGTACATCCATAAATGCGTTAATCAGGGAGCAACAATTTAAAAAAAAAAAACAAGCTACTTGTAATCCTAGCTATTTGGAAGGCTGAGATTGGGAGGATCATGGTTCCAGAACAGTCCAGAGGGGAAAAAGTTTATGAGATCCACCGCACCCAATAAAAAGCGAGGTGTGGTGGCACACGCCTATTGTCCCAACTACACAGAAAGCATAAATAAGAGGAACAAGATTCGGGTCAGCCCAGCATAAACTGAAACCTTATCCCAAAAATAACCAAGTGGTTCAGCACTTGCCTAGCAATTGCAAGGCCCTGAGTTCAAGCTCCAGTACCACCAAAAAAACAAAAGAAAGAAACATAAGTGTTACTGGTGATAGTTGCATAATTCTGTGACTACACTAAACATCACTAAACTGTATACTAAAAAAGGATGAATTTTATGGGGTGTTAATTATATTTCCATAAAGCTGTTACTTTAAAAATAGCATTCTAATGCAGCTGGGTATGATGCTGCACACCTGTAATCCCAGAACTCCAAGATCACATTTTGAGGCAGGAGGCAGGACAACTGATTGAGGTGTCAGCCTGGGCTATATACCGAAACGCTGTCTCAAAAAAAAAGAACAGAACAGCATTCTCTGTCCTTTTTTTTCCCCCACTTTTTTGTTTTTATGAGACAGGGTCTTGCTATACAGCCCATACAGGCCTTGAACTCATGATTCTTTTGCCTCTACCTTCCAATTACTGAGATTCCAGGCCTGTGACACCAGCAAAACAGCATTCTCTTAGTTATACTTCTTTTTCCTTAAAAATACCTTTCCAGCATAGAGAATACTAGAAGAATCCAATGCATCATCTAATGGTCTCCAGTCCAGTATTACTTCAGCATCCTAGAGAAAGAAATTATAAGTTATATTTAGAATATAACTATTACAATATGCTATATCCTTAATCCACTTTTATTTCCTAATACAAAATAAGTTTAGTACCTTATATATTAACATTTTCATACCTGAATCACTGTTCAAATTATTTCTGCTTACTTTACATTATGAAAAATTATATTATTACAACTTTTATACACCACATTTTAAAATATTCCACATTGCCTTATTGGGTTCTCAAAAGTATTTATTTCTACAATTTTAAATTTATAAACACTGCTCAATTATGTAACTGTATCTTACATATGAACTTCAAACTTTCTGATAATGGCCCAAAGAAGAACCACTACCATAAAGTATTATTAAATAAACTCATCTACTAGAAACTTACCTTTTCTAAAACACGTAATATTCCTGAAATTAAGCTGTCTTGATCATTGGTCTTTCCAAAAGATGAGTGAATATATACCCCTTCCTGTTCATATATAATCTGGAAAAGCAAAAATAAGATTAATCACACTTTTTATTTCAATATTTATAAAAAATATTGAGATGTTTTCTTATAGCACCTGTCCAAGTATCTGATATATACACATATGCATATATACATACATACACATATATAATATGTGTATATATGTATGCATATATGTATCCCTTCTCCAAAATGCCTGTGATCAAAAGTATTTCAGATTTTGGAACTATCTGTATACTCCTAATGAGAATCCTCAAGGATGGGGACCAAACACCAAATTAATTTATGTTTCACATACACCTTATATGTACATAGCCTGAAGAATTTTATACTTGATCTTAGCTAAAAGGCCTAGAAATGATCTAAGGGAAACTTTATACAATATATTTAGTGTGCCTGCATTTTGCTATGACTGGTCAGATGAGGTGGTCAAGTGCGGAACTTTCCACTTGTAGTATCATGATGGCATGATACTACAGGTATTAAGGTATTAAGTTTCAAATTCCGGATTTTCAGATTAGGAATGTTCAACCTGTATTTAAAAAATACCAGTGTTAATGAAACTTCAAATAAACTGGAAGACTATTTGCTTTGTTACTCATGAAAGTTTGTTTTTTAGATTAGTGATAATCACAATCTCAATCTTCTCCAAAAATAAAGATGTCACACTAATTGCTACCTGCCTGAATATATAAATTCCACTTAAAAATTTATATTTTGGGGTCTGGGAGAGTAACTCTTGTGGTAGAGTATTTGCTTGTCAGGCGCAAAGCCCTAGTTTCAATCACCAGCACCATAACACTAATAATAATATTTTAATAAATATTTTAGAGAAACACAGATTTAAACTAACAATCGACCTGAAAATATCCAAGAATAAGAAGAGATGATATAATGAAAAACAGATGCTTTCTAACTATTCCCATAATAGTGTATTTTTATAAAAGATCACTTTATTTTGTTTTTGTAACAGTGGCAGAAAAATTCAGGGGGAAATATGGGCATTTTAAACTAGTGATGAGGACTTCTGGAAATGACTGGTTTAAAGGAGCTCAATTTCACAAATATTTACTGAGCAATTCTGTATGTGAAAGCATGTAAAAAATCATCAGTACATGAAGATTAAGACATGATCTCTAAACAAAGTTCTATGTGCATATAGAGAAGACAAGTTAATTCCTGAGTAAGTATAAACATCTAAAGTTAATGGTACAACACTCCATTCCTACGACCCATTTAAAACTATTAAAAATTTAATTATAAAAGTAAAGAAAATAAAATAGTCCCTTGTAGACCTCAGTACTTTTGACATATGCAAGTTTGGAATAGAGAATTTTTCTATTTATGCAGATCTTTTGTTAATAAATTCACATTACGCTCTGAAAGCAAAGTTAAGTGTCACAGGGCCCAACACTCCTTCATTCCTAAATTGGAAATGAAACATGCTTTACTAACATTTATGGAAACACTTATTGCACCAGAACTCCACTTATTAAAACTGAATTCCTTAAGACAACTCTAAACCATAGGTTCCTAAACTGCCATTCTAACTATCATTATTGGATGAGGAGCCAATTGTGTGAATTTAAAAAAAAAAACTGAAAATAGGTAAATTAAGTTGCCATGGTCAATGACGCAAATCGTAAGAGTAGTACTGAAACCAAGACTGAAGGATCTGATGCTAGAGAACATGCTTTTAGCCATACAACTATCAAGCTACAACACATTACTTTTACTGCCTCTCATGTTTGTTATTTTAATCAGTTATGAAATGGACTTACATCATGTCAGGAAAGAGTCCTTCTAGTAATCAAGATCACTGGGGAAATTCTGATATCAAAAACCCAAGATGACTTTCTTTGAAATATTTACTGAACACCAGACTAGCACATAGCAGAAGGCAAAGATGCAATAGGATGAGTTGGGAGAAAGTGAGAGATAATCCTATATTGTTTGTATACAGATGAAAATTGTCCAAATGTAAAATCTGAGAATTACGAAAAAAAAAAAAAAAGCACAGTTCACACCTGAAATCCTAACTACTGTGAGGATCACAGTTTAAGGCCAGCCTGGACAAAAAAGTTAGAAGACCACATGTCAACCAATAAAAAACTGGATATGGTTTTTTAATAAAAAACTGGATATGGTGGTACCTGCCCATCATTCCAGCTACGTGTGAAGCATAAATAGGGGAATCACAGTCTGAGCTGGCCCAGGCATAATTTTGACACCCTATTCGAAAAAATACCTAAAAGCACAAAGGGGTGGTAGTATAGCTCAACTGGTAGAACACCTGCCTAGCAAGTGCAAGGCCCTGAGTTCAAACCCCAGTACTGCCCCCCAAAAAAAGATTAAAAATTTTAAAGTATATAGATATAGTCACACATGTACAGAGATATAAAGAAGAATATTTACAGCCAGGCATGGTGGTACACAACTGTAATCCTAGTACTCAGGAGGATCTTAAATTATAGGCCAGCTGAGCTACACAGTGATGATGAGGAAGAAGAAGATTCACACCACCATTATTTATACTATCAGAGAGAAGGGAAAGAAGGGAGAATATGAATCTAAATGTTCACAAATGGAAATGATCGAATATATCTGGGATGTCTACTCTATGGGGAATATTATTTAGGAGTTAGGAAAAGATAAGGTAGATTAAATAGATGGACAAGCACACAGGTGTACATCAAATTATATATAGCATGATCACATTTACACTTTACACTTTCTAAAAGGTTCTCTAGTTTATTTGTATGAAATATAAAAAGCAAAGTTTGGGAAGATACATTTTAAGTTCTTAATAGAGATTATTAGTGGAGAGAGAATGAAATGAAAGACAAATAAAAAATGTCACTATTTATGTTAATGTCTCTTTTTGAATATTCAAAGTGAAAATATAGTCATATTAAAAATAATTTAAAAGTAAACATGAAAAAAGGAACTCCAGGAGTATAAACTAGAAACCTCCTGGACTTGAGTTAATCAATTTTCAATTTGTATAAAACTGGACATTGAACCAGATGATTACCTGTGGGGGCCACAATATAAAGATATGAAACAGTTATAGGTAAAAATCTCTTAAAAACTCAAGGCTTTTGGCCCAAAAGACCAAAAATCGTATGTTCTCCCTCATATGTGGACATTAGATCAAGGGCAAACACAATAACAAGGGATTGGGAACTATGAGCAACATGATAAAGCGAGAGCACACAAGGAAGAGGTGAGGATAGGTAAGACACCTAAAAACTAGCTAGCAGTTGTTGCCTTAACGCAGAGAAACTAAAGCAGATACCTTAAAAGCACTGAGGCCAATAGAAAAGGGGAACAGGTACTGAGAAAAGGTGAGATCAAAAAGAATTAACCTAGAAAGGTAACACCACGCACAGGAAATTCAATGTGAGTCAATGCCCTGTTAGCTATCGCTTATCTCCAACCAGCAAAAACCCTTGTTCCTTCCTATTATTGCTTATACTCCTCTACAACAAAATTAAAGAAATAAAGGGGCATAAATAGTTTCTGCTGGATATTGGGGGGGGAGGGAGGGGGCGGAAGTGGGTGGTAAAGGGAGGGTGGGGCAAGGGGGAGAAATTGAACCAAGCTTGTATGTACATATGAATAATAAAAGAAAATGAAAAAAAAAATCGGATCATTATATGGGTTTTAAAATAAATGTTTATCTGGCAGAGGCCACTATGGGAAGGGGACTAGGAAGTAGTGAAAAGGTCTGGTACAGATGAACCAATATGGGTGGTAATACCCAAAAAAAAAGAAAAAAAAAAAAAAAAAAAAGAATTAAACCTAGAAAAGGGTAAAACCCACGACAGGAAATCAATGTGAGTTAATGCCCCGGTAAAATAGCTAATCTATCTCAACCAGCAAAACCCTTGTTCTTCTATTATTGCTATACTCTCTCTACAACAAAATTAGAAATAAAGGGCAAAAATAGTTTCTGCTGGGTATTGAGGGGGGGAGAGGGAGGGGGCGGAGTGGGTGGTAAGGGAGGGGTTGGGGGCAGGGGGGAGAAATGAACCAAGCCTTGTATGCACATTTTTGAATAATAAAAGAAAAGTGAAAAAAATAAAAAATAAAAAAATAAAAAACTCAAGGCTTTTTTGACAATGGATCAGAGAAATATCCCTCCCCCCAAAAAAAAAACTGCTTCATCATATTTTCACCCAAGATTCAGCTATTAGAATAATCAAAAACTTTATGACAGAGGTCACTATGGGAAGGTGACCAGGAAGTAATGAAGAGGTGTGGTAGAGATGAATCAATTCAGGTTGTAATACACGTGGGCATGGAAGCAACACTAGGAATCTCTCTGTATAGCTGTCCTTATCTCAAACTAGCAAAAATGCTGTATCTTTCTTATTATTGCTTATGTCTTCTCTTCAGCAAAACTGGAGAAGAGGGCAGAAAAGGTTCTGCCTGGAAGCAAGGGGAGTGGGGGAGAGAAGGAAGGGGTGGGGAACAGGGGGGAGAAATGGCCCAAACAATGTATGCACATATGAATAAATGAATTTTAAAAAACTTTATGATTCTCATAGCAATAAGAGGGACATGCATTTGCAGAGAAAAGTCTGGTATCATGCACAATGCATGTGATTTTGATGTGTGTGCTGAGGTTGAACCCAAAGCCTTGTGCATCCTAAACTCTAAAGCTAAACTACATGCCCAGCCAGGTTCTGTAAAATTTTAAACACTAAAAATATCCTGTAACAATATAAGAAGTGAACTCTATTGAATCAAATGAAACACTTTATCCAACTGAGGTAACATTAAGCAACTCTTTCCCAGTACATTTGTTACTCAAGTATTGTCTATTCTTTTTTTTAACTTAAGAAAAAACAAAAAAGTCCAAAACTTTGACATTAGGGACGGGAGTGTAGTTCAGTGGTAGACTGCTTGCATAGTATGTGCAATGCACTGCATTCAATACCAAATAACACAAAAAAAGGCACTTTGATGTATTTTATAGTATTAATACAATACTATAAAAATGATACTTC